CTCTTTCCTTTTGCATATTAATATTTTTAGTTTTATTAGTTGGTAAATCTTGTTTAAGTGGTTGCCATACTGGAGGAAGTGTATTGTGGCAGGAATGGAAATAGGCTAGAATCCCGTTTTAATCTTTATTATACATATGACTTAATCAGGCCGTTGAACAGGCTTAATGATGGTGTCCAGCTCACAGGGGTGTTGATTCTGTGCGCCGTCTGCAGTGGCCTTGGCTGTTTGGAGAGCATCCGAGAGTGCCGGGGACACTAAGGTACTCTGAGATCATCCAGAAGTGTCTGAGAGTATCTGAAATACATAACAAATCGTTTTATTAGTGAATCAGGAAATATTTGCTTGATATAGTTTAGCTAGTTGCGGTAACTAAAGCAAATAACATGAGTTTTGTTTGAAATTGAAAAAAAGTTTTTGCCTGTACTTAGGTCTTAGTAAATTTTACAATGTTGCTTTTGTTCTGTTTCTGTTATTACTAAATGAGCAGTAGTGCTGTTTTTTATTTCTAAAAAATAATGTACTGATGAAATATTTTGCCCCCTCCTTGTGAAGCAGTCTGCCCCTTTCTTATAAAGTAATTCAGTGATCTCTTTATTTATGTATTGGAACCATCTGCATTTAGCCAGAAGTTATTCTTTTCCATCCTCCCTCCCACGACTGAACAGCTTTGGGCAGAAAGAAACATGCAGTCCTTTTTGCTATTAAGTTTCTGTGAAGTAAAGCCAGAAAGTATTAAACATATTTTGACCAAGATGGTTTCGGAGTCTGGTTATGTCTCCATTTGTTCTGACTGACTTGATCGGATAACATCTTGGATTGTCAAAGAAATGTGTAGTGAGGGTTTTTCTCACACTTGAGCTCATTCTACTGGCTGTTGTTAGGCTAGCAAATAGATCTCCCACCTAGTACGATAGAGAGAACCCCCGATATAGGAGCAGTTTCCCTGCTTGAAACTGGTCTCCTTGTCTTAGGTTTTTACCAAGGACATGCTCAAATCCTGCCCTTGTTTTTCTTTAGGGGAAAGTTTGGACTTGGTACTTCTTTTATTTATTTATTTATTTATTTTTTGAAAATTTCAATTTTTAAGAACCTTGTAAAAATTTGAAACAATTTTAGACTTACAGAAAAGTGGCAAGTGCAACACAAAAGTATTTTATATCCCAAAGTCTTGGAGAGTAAGTTGCCAAAATGGTGTTTATCATCCTCACATACAATAAGGATATTTTCCGCAACCCAGTATGTGTGTGAAAATTAGGAAATTAACATTCAGGTATTACTACCATCTAATCTTCATAAGAGTGGTCAGAATTTGAGTACTGCATTAGAGAAAAAAGGTCATGATCATTCACAGTTGAGAGGACATGTAAGTGTCTAATAGCAGAAAATTTGTATTAAATTAATATAAACTGAATGACAAGTGAAGAGGTAAGGGAAGACGACTGTGGTAGTGGGGCTGTTCTCCATGTGTCTGTCCAGGAATGTGAGAGTGCGTCTGCCTTCACTTTGATGTTGGATGTGCGAGCTCTTTTAATGATTGATCACTTGACCACTGGAGAACACCAGCCTTTGACTTCGCAGTTGGCGTAGTACCTCTTCACAGAGTCAGCCACCTTGGTCTGTTTCTTTTCTTTAAAGAATTAATTTATTATATTCATTTATTTATCTAATTATTTTAATTTGACCAAAGAGAGAAAGAGAGATGGGGACGGGGTGAGAAGGCAAGCCTCCAGGTTTGGGACTTGAATTGCAGTCAGCTATGTGGGAATCCAGTGACCGTAACCACCATGCCACCTGCCCATCCTAGGTCTGTTCCTTTTTCTTTTTTTTTTTTGGAGAGGTTTTTGTTATAGGGCACGCATGCTTGCCAGAAAGACAGAGACAGACAGAGAGACAGAAAGCAAGAAATCACACACACACACCCCAGGGGGATGGCCATGCCACAATCCCTTCTCCTCCATTCTCCTCTTGGAATCCTGGGCACGCACACACACACGCCCGGCGTGAGTTTAAGTCATCAGGTCTGGGACGCGAACTGCAGTCAAGTACATAGGAGTCCAGCGACATAGCCATTCCGCTAACTCCTGGTCCCAAGCCCTAGGTCTGTTTTTTGATGTAACTTCTAAAAGATCAGTTATTCAGTTATTCAGTGGTAGAACGATAGTGCAGCAGAACAGTTCTTCAGTGTTCACAGCTTTCACCATGGCCTCAGTTTCTAGGCTGCAGTGTCCAGCATGTGCTAATGTGACCGAGCTGGAAATTTTAGTTAAAGCGGGAGAGTGGGAGAATTCTTTAAACAAATAGGGATTATCGAGACAAACAAGAAGACCAGAAAACCAATGATAAATCTTTATACAGACAATGATACAGGGAAGCCAAAAGGAGAGGCAACAGTGTCATTTGATGACCCTCCATTAGCTAAGGCAGCCATTGACTGGTTTGATGGAAAAGAATTCCATGACAATATCATCAAAGTATCTTTTGCTACTAGAAGACCTGAATTCATGAGAGGCAGTGGAAGTGGAGGTGGGCGTCGAGGCCGTGGAGGATATAGAGATCGTGGAGGCTTTTAGGGGAGAGGTGGAGACCCCAAAAGTGGTGACTGGGTTTGCCCTAATCCATCATGTGGAAATAGGAACTTTGCTCGAAGGAGTTCCTGCAATCAATGCAATGAGCCTAGACCAGAGGACTCTTGTCCTTCAGGAGGAGATTTCTGTGGGATAGGCTCTGGTGGAGAGAAGGGCTACAGAAGTTGTAGGGGTAGAGGTGGAGACTGAGGTGGCTACAGTGGAGAAAGAAGTGGGGGTGGCTATGGTGGGGACAGAAGTGGTGGCAGTGGCTGTGGTGGAGACAGAAGTGGGGGTGGCTATGGCAGAGACCGGGTAGGTGGCTGTGGAGATGATCGAGGTGGTGGAGACCGAGGAGGGGGCTATGGAGGAGATCAAAGTCGGGGGGCTACGGAGGAGACCATGGAGGTGGCAGTGGCTGTGGTGGAGACTGAAGTGGAGGCTGTGGAGGAGACAGGAGTGGTGGCGGCTATGGAGGAGACTGAGGTGGCTATGGAGGCAAAATGGGAGGAAGAAACGACTACAGAAATGATCAGCGCAACCGACCATACCGAAGATTGTTTTGAATATTCCTTTGTCTCTGACATGATCCATAGTGAAATTGCCAGAGTTTTGCCTGCTGCTTTCCTCGTGGCCTCTTCTTGGGTAGTGAAATTAAGTGACATTTGGATTTTTATTTGGGTGGGAGGGCTGGGACGGTTTTTCTTTTAGAAATGTCCATTGAAATTTTCCCTTTAGTTTCCAACTTTCTCCTTCCCATCACTTAAAGCTAAGTACGTTGTAAAATATGGCCAAAATGGAAAGTGTTTTATAATACTGCAATACAGGCTGCTTGTTTTTGTGGGGGGGAAAAAAAGTTCAAGGAAAAAAATCACACATCTCATGGTATTGAAATGACTTCTTTATTCGTAAGTGTATTCTTAGAACATTTGTGATAAGAACCATGTTTGTATTAAAAAGTTACCACACAGATTGTGATTCCGATTTGTGTTCTTAAGGCTCTTGCAGACCAATTTGAAGATAAAACGACATCTGTATTGGAACGCCTGAAGATTTTCTATTGTTGTCAAGTACCACCACACTGGGCCATTCAGGTATTTTGTTGTTTATCCTTGAGTATGGAAATCACTGTGTATAAGTAAGGTAAAGGCATTAGAAAAGAATGATTTTAATTTATATTTGCATTTTTAAATGTGTTGGTGAAAAGAATAAAAGTATCTGTCTAGAGAATGATAATCATTTTAAATTGTTATTTTAATTAAAGTAATATTAGACTTAAAAATTTTTTTTTTTTTTTTGGGAGAGGTTTTCACTATAGGGCACGTGCACTCGCCAGACAGACAGAGAGAGACGTAGAGACAGAAAGCGAGAAATCACCCCCCGGGAGGATGGTCACGCTGTAATCCCTTCTCCTCCATTCTCCTCTCGGGATCTTGGGCACGCACGCACACGCGCCCAGTGTGAGTTTTAAGCCACCTGGTCCGGGACGCGAACCACGGTCAACTATGTTGGAGTCCAGCGACATAGCCATTATGCTAACTGCTGGTTCCCATTTTTTTTAATAATAATTATTTATTTTATTTATTAATTCATTTATTTGTTAATTTGACCAGAGAGAGACAGAGGTTGAGAGTGAGAGAGAGAGGAAGTGAGAAAGCAAGCCACCAGATTCAAGACTTGAACCCTGGTCGGCCATGTGTGCGTGTCCAGTGCCTTAACCACCATGCCACCTGCTGGTCCCTAGACATATAAAATATTTTTAAAAGAATTTGAAAGTGTATTTAATAGACTCCCATAATTTGAAAGATAGAACCATAAACACTTTTATTTTCAAAATAACTTTTTAAGAATGTCTTTACTTATTTATTCATTCCTTGAGTGAGTGACAGAAAGAGAGAGGATCTCGACGCCATGATCCACCTCCAGCCTTCAGCCAGCCCTGGATCGTGTGCAAGCATGTGACTAAAGTACTCAGGGAGGTCTGAGCATATGAACTGGGAACCTTCCTATGTGGGAGTGATTTGCAAAACATATTTTACTGCTACACTACTGGCTAGCCCCCTAATCACTAAATTTTTTTGTGTGTGTTTGTAGTTTTTTTTGTTTTTTTTGTTTTTTTTTTTTGAGGTTTTTACCTGAGTGCATGTACGCTCGCCAGAGAGAGACAGTGAGAGGGAAAGTGGGACATCACCCCCTCCCCCCAGGAGGGATGGCCATGCATCCCTGTCCTCTTCCACGGATCTGGGGCATCCATGCACATGTACCCGGCATGAGTTTCAAGTCACTGGGTCTGGGACTCAAACCATGATTAGCCATGTTGCAGTCCAGCAATATAACCACTATGCCATCTGCTGGCCACCACTAACTTCTTAAATATAAAAACCCTTAGGAACTTACTTCCAAAGGATGAACCTTTTTTTTTTTTTTTTTTTTTTATTAATTAGGTTTTTTTTTTTTTAGTCGTAGGGCTTGTATGCTTGCAAGAGACAGAGACAGAGACAGAGAAAAACAGAGATGGTGTGGCCATCTCCCCTGGGGAGATGGCCACACCACAGTCCTGCCTCCTCTATACTTTTCTTGGGATTTTGGGCACACACACACACACACACACACACACACACACACACATGCCTGGTGTGATTTTCAACCCACCAAGTCCAAAACTCAAGCAGTGATCAGTCATATGGGAGTCCAGAGCCTTACTACCTGCTGGACCCAAAGATGAACCTTTTAACCAAATCATTTACAAAAAGTGTAATAAAGCCTTTATTTGATACTTTATGTTGTGAGTTAACTACTCTCCTCTTTGTGAGGATATGAGGATATCTAATGTAGCTCCTAAAGATCCACGTTGGGGTGGAGATTTTCGCCTTTTGTTCACATGATTCTCCTATATTATAGGTATGGACCTCCTATTTTGTAAAACTTTAGCACTGAAAATTACTTAGACGTGTGTCCAGCTTCTTAATTTTATAGAGAAGAAAATTAAGGCAGTTCAGTGCCCTTGCTCATACACAGTATGTGACCTAGACTCCTGCTTTCCTGACTTTTAGTCTATTTCCTCCTTTCTTTAGGTCTTCATTGGGCTGTCATTTTTTTTTTTTTTCCTTTGGAGAGTTTTTTTGCTATAGGGCAAGTGCACTCTCCAGAAAGACAGAGAGAGAGAGACAGAAAGTGAGAAATCACCCCCCAGGGGTGGATGGCCACACCACAATCCCTTCGCCGTTCTCCTCTCTGGATGTTGGGCACGCACGCACACACGTCTGGGGTGAGTTTAAGCCACTGGGTCTGGACCTCGAACCCTAATCAACTACATGGGAGTTCAGCGACATAGCCATTACGCTAATTGCTGGTTCCCATTGGGTTGTAATTTTACTGGCTATTAATAGCCAGCACTTTGTATGAGGCATGCATTCTGCTCTGCAGGGGATGTACATTATTTTATTGCAACAATTTTGTAAAAATCCTTGTTTTACAGATGAGAAAGCTATGGTGCAGAGAGGTTAAATGAAGTCAAATGGTACCAGCCAGAGGTTCCTAAACAATTTAGTAACTATTACCATCTTAATCAAATTCCTGCTTTCTCTCTCATGTATTATACATATGAAAAGTAATTTAGAATTAAATATTTCAACCTACCAATCAATGGTTTAGACACCCCATTGTAAAAATCTTAGCAAATTCTATAAAGATGTAAACAGCTTGTATTCTTTGGCATACTTTGGTCCCTGATCCATGAAATTCATTAAGTGCTTTCGTTTTTGCCATATGACGTGTGCATTGGAAGGAGAGAGACAGAAGGACAAAGAGAGAGAGAAAATGAGAAATCATCCCCCAGAAAGGCTGAGCACACCACAATCCCTTGTCTTCCATTCTCCTTTGGGGATTTTGGACACATACACACACATGCCTGATGTGATTCTCATGTTGCAGGGTCTGGGACTCAAAACATGGTCAGCCATGTGGGAATACAGTGCCTTAACCAAACCCCACCTGCTAGTCCTGTGTTAAGTACTATTTACCATTAATAATGTGGTTTGTGGTGGATCAACTTTTCAGACCGAGCTATTGGGTACTATTTACCATTAATAATGTGGTTTGTGGTGAATCAACTTTTCTGACAACCCAATATTATTATGACAAAACAAGTCTGTTGAGGAGTATGTTTTTTATTTTTTTATTTTTTTTGTCTTTTTAGCTGCTTTTGAATAAAAGCATAAGAAACTTAACTACTGTTTGGACCAGCAGTTAGCGTAATGGCTATGTTGCTGGACTCTCATGTAGTCGACCGTGGTTCGCGTCCTGGACCCAGTGGCTTAAAAATCTCACGCCGGGCGTGTGTGCGTGCGTGCCCTAGATCCTGACCTGCTGGAGGGAGAGGCAGTACCCCCTCCAAGTCACCCCCTCAACTCTGTTCTTCCAGGAAGAACAGTTACTTTCAGAAAATAAGAAATGGAGGAGGAAAAAAAAAAAAAAAAAAAAGAAACTTAATTACTGTTAAATAAATATAACTTAATCTAAAACAATCTAAATGTTTATTTTATCTGTCTCGCTAGCGGCAGATTTTAGGATACCTAAGGAGTTTGATAAAGGTCCTTTTCCATTAAGAAATTAAATCACTTTTTCTTCTGTCATTGGAAGTAACTATTATCTTTACATATTATTATTACTATTATTATTATTATTATTATTGGAGAGGTTTTTGCTATAGGCTGCGTGCACTTGCCAGAGAGACAGAAAAAAGACAAGAAATCGCCTCCCCCCAACCCTGCCCCGGAGGGGATAGCCAGGCTGGAATTCCTTCTCCTTTTGGGAGAAAGCACACATGTACATGCACCCAGCCTGAGTTTCAAGCTACTAGGTCCAGGACTCAAACCACAGTCGACCATGTGAGAGTCCGGCACCTTAACCATTACACTACCTGCTGGCCCCTCACTGCTTTTAATCTTTCTAATATCTTTTTCGCTTTCCTATAAGATGGACCACTTAAAAATTACAATATATTTATTTTTTAGTATAGCTAACCTTCACAGACCTTGAATTTGCTTCTTTTAAATCTGTCAGTGACTGGAAAGTTAGATAGGTAAGTTTGTTAAAATGTGCACAAAATAAATCTCAGTAGATTTTATTGAAACAGAATCAAGGATGCCCGTATGAATAAAGTTTATGAATGCTAGTGCATGGATTTTTGTATAATCTATATTGACTGCTCAGAGTTTTAAATATTAATTTATTGGATCTCAACTTTAGAAGTCAGAGACTGTCAGAATTTCTTTTTTTTTTTTTTGAGAGGTTTTTGCTATAGGGCACATGCGCTTGCCATAAAGACAGAGAGAGAGAGAAAGAGACAGAATAGTGAGAAATCACCCCTCGGGGAGATGGCCACACCACAATCCCTTCTCCTCCATTCTCCTCTCGGGATCTTGGGCACGCACGCACATGCGCCCGGTGTGAGTTTAAGCCCCTGGGTACAGGATAGAACCGTGGTCAACCACATGGGAGTCCAGTGATGTAGCCATTACTCCAACTGCTGGTCCCAACCATGTATAGAATTTCTTGGTGAGAAGGTGGTGAGGTTGTTAGGGTGCTGGAGTCCCACATGGCCAACTGCAGTTCAAGTCCTGAACCAGGAGACTTGCTTTTCAGTTTCTTTTTCTCTCTGTCTCTGTGTCTCTCTCTGGTCAAATTAAAATAATAATAACAATGACAAATGGAAATAAGTAAATAATTATTTTTAAAAAGAAAAGAATTTCTAGTGAGAAAGAAATATTGATTTTGCTCTTTAAATTCTTCTGAGTTCTTAAAAAATAATTTGATGTATTGAGTATTTTGAAGTTTCTATTATTTTTTGAGAGGTTTTTGAGGTTTTTGCCATAGGGCATGTGTGCTCACTGGAGAGAGACAAAGACAGTGAGAGGGAAAGTGAGAACTCGTCCCTTGGGGGAATATTCATGGGTGGCCTCACTGCAGTCCCTTCATTCTCTTCCTGGGATTTTGGGCACGCACACACATGTGTCCAATGTGATTTTCAAGCCACCAGGTCCAGGACTTGAACAATAGTCAGCCATGTGGGGTCCAGCAATGTAACCACTATGCTATTTGCTGGCCCCTCTCTCTCTATTTTTTTTAAGAATTATTTATTTAATTGTATTCAATATTATCATTAATTTTTTTAGAGGTTTTTGCTATAGGGCGCATGCACTCGCCAGACAGGCAGAGACAGAGAGACAGAAAGCGAGAAATCACCCCCCAGGGGGGATGGCCACACTGCAATCCCTTCTCCTCCGTTCTCCTCTTGGGATCTTGGGCACGTATGCACATGTGACTGTCATGAGTTTTAAGCCACTGGGTCCGGGACCCAAACCGCAGTCGACTATGTGGGAGTCCAGCGACATAGCCATTATGCTAACTGCTGGTCCCAATATTATTATTTCTTAAATTTGCTATAGGACATGTGTTCTCACTAGAGAGAGACAGAGAAAGTGTGAAAGCAAGCTGCCAGGTCCAGGAATCAAACCACAGTCAGTCATGTGGGAGTTCACCTTCAGCGCCATGCCATCTGCTCTCCCCCACCCCATATTGTTTTTTAATCCCTCACTATCTATGAAGAAGGTTGCTAAAGTAAAAGGTTAAATATTGAATTGTTACAGGTTCCTAATAGAGGGTAAATCATAGAAATGATCCATTTATTAACAATGAAGAGATTTTTATAAAGGCAGAATGAATATTCCTGCAAGCAAAATATGAATCTCTGTGTACATCAAGAAACATTCATTACTGTATTTTAACTTGATTTTTCTAGCGCCAACTTGCAAGTTTGCTCTTTGAGTTAGGATGTACCAGTTCAGCCCTTCAGATATTTGAGAAGCTAGAAATGTGGGAAGACGTTGTCATTTGTTACGAAAGAGCCGGCCAGCATGGAAAGGTAGGTGATAGCACCCTGCACACTGGGGAGAGCCTTTCTTCCTTGCACATCTTCTCGCTTGTTTTGTTTTTAAGCCCACTTTTGCCAGTATCTATTTATGTTTTCTTTTCTCCTCACTTTTCCAGAAAACTTAATTATAATTATAATGATTATTTATGACATACTTGTGTACATTGGAGGTAAAAGAGAAAAACAAACTGAAATTGTTAAGAGATTTGGTATTTTAGAGAAAATAATGAAAGCCGTGAAGACACTGCATTTCAATTTCTTACTAACTCTTCTCCTATAGGACAACTTCAAAGTGAAATAATAGGAGTTACTTTAGTTATCACTGGGCTGCCTGCTGATTAGAGGCCAGGGGCCTGACTAGAGCTTACCTAGGAAGGACAGCAGCTAGCCTGACTGTGTAACAAAATCCAAAGAGTATGATAGAACCTCTTGGGTCAGAAACATTTTCACATGTGTTAATTCCAACCTGAAATTGGATCAAGACGGAAGATGTTATGATATTTGCATCTACTATTCATTGTTTTTCCCCCCATACATGAACAGAATTTTAAGACTAAAGGGAGAAGCCATAAAAACAGACATATCGAAGTCATGTTACTTTTAGATTAAGACATTTAAATCACCAAACAGAGTACACAAGCAAAGTAAAACCTACAAATTTGATCGGTTATATCTACAGTCTACTACGTGGGAGTCCAGCAACATAGCCATTATGCTAACTACTGGTTCCCCCGAAGATACTATTTTTAAAAATCTGCATATGGGACCAACAGATGGCATAATGGTTATATTGTGGACTCCCACATGGCCAACCGTGGTTCAAGTTCCAAAAACCCTGTGGCTTGAAACTCAAGTCAGGCACGTGTACATGCGTACCCAAAATCATGAGAAGAGAATGGAGAAGGGATTGTGGTGTGGCCATCTCCCTAAGCGATTGCTCACTTTCTGTTTCCCTGCCTCTCTGGCTAGTGCATGCACCCTATAGCAAAAATCTCTCTTTAAAAAAAAAAAATTGCGTATGTCCTTGTTAGAATTATCTGACAAGAATGAGGAATACCTGTGTTTCTAAATACTTTGGAAAACATGCGTATTTTAATTTTTAGGATTATACAGTTATTTATTTGTCTTTACTTTTTTGTGAATGATAGACAAACACTCTCCCAAATCTTGATTTTTAAGGGTCAATTTTAGCATTGTATTTGTCCCATAAGCTCTCCCTTACCTGTTTTTCTTATGCTATATTTACAGATCAATTATAGTCCCTAAAAAGTTTTTGTTTAAGTGAAAAGTAAATGTTTTATTTCTAAAACAGCTGAGGTTCTTTTGGAATTTGATCATGTGCCAGTAGTTGTCACCACATTTTGGCTTAACTAGAAGTTAGTGAAATTTTTATCCTTGCATTTAATGCTTAACAGCATAATTTTTTTTTTTGAGAGATTTTCATTGTAGGGCGCGTGCGCTCGCCAGACAGACAGAGAGAGAGAGACATAGAGACAGAAAGCGAGAAATCACCCCCCAGGGGGGATGGTCACGCCGCAATCCCTTCTCCTCCATTCTCCTCTCGGGATCTTGGGCACGCACGCACACGCGCCCGGCGTGAGTTTTAAGCCACCAGGTCCGGGACACGAACCACGGTCGACTATGTGGGAGTCCAGCGACATAGCCATTACGCTAACTGCTGGTTCCCAGCATAATTTATTTTTAAAAGACAAATGGGGTGGGAAGGGCTCGTAGATGGTATGGTGGTTAAGGTGCTAAACTCCTACCTAGCTGACCATAGTTCAAGTCCCGGACCTTTTTCACTCCCCCTCCCCCACCACTGTCTCTCTCTTGTCAAATAAGAATAATAATAAGAAGTAAATAAATAGTTCCATTCTTTTAAAAAAAAAGATAATTTGGAAAAAATGACTATTGTGTTCTGGTACTCATGTTTACTCTTTGCAGTTATAGGTTCTCAGGCTTTCTATTGTAATTTAGAAATTACCAGTAGACATTCTCATTACCTAAGGACCGTTGGTAAAATAGCTAAAATTACTTAGGCTCCATCTTGGTGTTAGAATACTCATCTCTTAGCATTTAAGTTTTAAATGTTATCTGGCTTACATACAGCATTTCCCATAGCTGATGGAAAAGTTCTTATTTTGTGGAGCCAAATTTGGTCCCTAAATGAGACAAAGACTCAGCTGAGTAAGCTGCCTGGGAGGTGGGTGTGAGGGTGGAGGGGGTGGGGAGAGATAAGAGTTGGGACCTCTCTTGTTTCCTCTTGTTTCCAGGAAGCAAGTTGAACCTTTATTATGCTACATTTCAGTTCACCGTATTTGTGACTGAGAAATGTCTGACTGGGGAGAGATGAAGTGTTTTGTACTTTTGACCTCACAAGTTGCTGCTAATAGCACAGGAGTTTAGACTAAGAGTAAACAGCCTCTCAGATAGAAAGGTTATCCCTGCTAAGAGTAGGACACACTTTTGTGCTCTTTTAGCTCTGTCCCTGTCATCCTTATTCATTGTGTCAAGGGCAAGAGAGCTCCTGCCAGTGGTCAGGCTCCCTCTCTTTGAAAACCAGTTTCAGCAGTAATGAAAATCAGAATTCATTTTTGTTCTCTGCTTCAGAGATGAACACTGAAATCAGGGAAAAAGAGTGTGTTCAAAGTTGTGTGAGTTCCATACACACTTAGACACACACTTTTTCTTTTAATCCTAAGGATATTGCCAGGAGGCCAGATCTGACTAATGTGACCGTAAGTTCTTGGGCTGCTGTTTCCCCATCTGCCTGGAGCAGACCTTTAGTGGTGAAGCCCAATTCTGTCATATCTGTAGTCCTCAAAGACTCTCCCATTGCTGATGCTACCTCTGGGTCCAGAGCTCACTTTCCCCTCCAGAGTTTTTCCAGGAGGGCTTCTAATAGTTGTTGCTTTGCCAGTTCCCCTTCCCTGTGTACCGACCAGATAGTGTAAGGTCAGGTGAGAGCCACTCTTAACACACGTTAGAATTTCAGTTCCTTCCACTAATTTACAAATCACAGCCAAGAAGTGCAGTTTGTTTTCATTAATTCCTTCTGACTCATGTATGAATAATTTTCCTGAAATGTTTTATCTCCCTTTTCACTAGAGACTGAACTTAACATTTTTGTCCCTGGAATCCTAGTAGTTCTTAAGAGTAGGGTTTTCCCTCTTTCAAATATGAATTTTCTACATAACAACTCACAGACAAACACATCATCATAAATATGAACGAGTCCCAGTATGTGTGTATGTTAAGTTCAGAGTTATTCTGAAGTTAACGGTGGATATTTGATCAAAAGGAACATTGTGATTTGGTTAGAAAGGCTGCCAAATTCAGGTTCTGTTATGTTACCTCTCTAATCACTGGGACAAATTATCATTAGATTGATTCTAATTTAGTCACACAGTGACACCTGATTTCACCTAGAGTATTTTGTTGTTGTTGTTATTTTTGTAGGTTTTTGCCATAGGGTACTTGTGCTCGCCAGAGAGAGACAGAGAGAAAGTGAGAAATCACTCCCAGTGGGTGGGCTACATAGCAGTCCCTTCTTCTCCATTCCTCTCATGGAGTTTTGGGCATATACACATGCCCTGTGTGATATTCAGGCTGCTGGGTCTGAGACTTGAACTGCAGTCATGTTGTAGAATATTCAGTGAGAGAGAGACAGGACACTAAGGCTTATGCAGGAAAACAGTGATTTATTAGTGTGCTAGCACCAGCTCAGGGGATTCATATCCAAAGACTGAGCCCTGAATTTTGGGGGGCCCTTCCTTTTATTCATTTTAGTCTCTATGTCTCCCTTACATGGATAGACGCACTTTTAAATACTTTTGATTGGGTAACTCATATGCAGTAACTTATATGATAAGGTTGCTTATAGAATTGTGCAGGCAAGCATCCGGCTACTAGGCTGTCAAATACACAGGCGTACATACAGTTAGAGTTGCTGAGTTACTATGGGGACAGGGCTACAAGGTCACTACAGATTACACACGCGTGCTTAAGTTCCAAGTATGCCCCGTTATCTTCCTTTGTTCTGGAAGGCCCCCTACCACAGTCAGTCCTGTGGAAGTCTAGTACCTTAACCACCACACCATCTGCTGGCCTCCAGAGTGTGTTCTCTAAAGGCATTCTGTCTGCTCCCAAATGGGAACAATCTTTTATGTTTGCTTAGAATCTGAAGGCCTTGAGAAAACATCATTAGCTCTTTTTGACTTTAGTATTAATTTCGGTTGATCCATCATTTATAGAGTACTTACTGTACGCCAGGTGATACTGTTCCAAAGATAGTAACAGACGAAGCTTAACTCTAAGGTAGTTGTAGTTTGATTGTCTAGATACACATAAGAAGAATATTTTAGTGTGATATGACAGGTGCCAAGATAAAACTGTATGCAGGTTCCAAATCCTGTGTGGCCTTCACATTCTTAAGCAAATATTCTTCTGTCTGCTATTCTTCTCTAAAGCAATGTCTACTTGGTTTGTATCTTGTACAGATTCCTTTCTGAGATTTCTAGAATTTCCCCTGAGATTCTTCACACTCTCATAAAAATATCGATGCTTTGTAGAAATTAGCCATATGTGGAAAAATTTAGCTGTAATACACTATCAGGAATCTTCTACTAACTCACTTCCTTAGTTCTGTTAGCTTAGTTACGTTACGATATACTTAATAGTTAACAATAGCAGTTCCGTCTTTGGAGAAACTGTCTTTGAGCTGACCAGTAAAATTATTTTTGAAACTTTTAATGTTCCTAGAAGTTGTTTCAGATCCCCTCCTTCTTCTTGAAAGTGATACCTCAAGCATCTACCTTCCAATCCGGCTTTCTAGTTGAAGGAGTTGAGGAAGACAAATGTAGGTCTAGGACTTTGTGTGCCTGGCAAAATGCAGGTACCTAACTTTTTCAACCTTTCTGAGGTAGATAGGTAAAAATGAAGAACAGACTCTGATAATACTAGTTTAACCTGCTGGTACATTTAGTGAATGT